AAGCAGGAGGCGGCGGCAGCGGCCCGGGGAGAGCCGGCCCGAATTTGGGAGCGGAGGCGGACACCGGGAGGGGCGGGCCCGCTCGCTGCCGCCTTTTTCTTTTCCTCCCCTTCCTCCGCACGCCTCTCCTTCCTTCTCCCCTTCCGCTCCTGTCGCCCTGCGCGCGCCTCTCCCGCCTCCCTCCTCCCACTCCCACTCCCGCTCGCTGCGGCTCTCGTTTCCCTTCCTCGCTCCTCTTTTTCTCCTCGGCGGGGTTGGAGGGCCGCGAGGAGCCGGGAGTCCCTGGAAGCGGCGCACACAGCAGCTGCCCCGTCCCCATCTAAGACGCACGGGTGTTCCTAGGGCACGATGCCCAGGTTTTATCAGTTTGTATCAATTAGAGGTTTCACTTGGCTGAAAGCACGCCAATTGTGTGGGCCCCGAACTGCCCAACCCCGAGCCCTCCACGCTGCTTACATATGGATGGCAAGAGAAAGGGAGAGATTTTAAACCTTTGAACGTTGACCCCTCTCACCTGCCTCCAATTGTTGATCTAATGTTTCACCTGCACCTTGTATAGTTACCTGATTGGCAAGCGAGTTAGTTAAAAGACTTCTCTTAGTGCTTCATCCCCTTACTCATTGCCTACCACAGTTACAGCGTCGATTATCAGGCTTTCTGGATTTTACAGGTCCAGAACTTTAATTTAGAAATCGTTTGCATCCTAAGCTAATTGCTGTAAAACTGGCAGGTGCAGAGTGCAGCCAGTACATTTGTAAATTACCAAGTAAAACTGCTTGTGAAACGATAGTTGGCATGGATATGCAAAGGACTCGCTGGGGATGTACCAGCTAATCACTTGCTGAATATTTATTAGTTCTGCCTGGAGGATGCTAAAATAGGCGAGGGAAGCAACCACGTACCAGCGTTTCATTATTGTTTTATTTCATTGTCAGATTCACAAAACAACTTCATGAACTGAAGGAATCAAGAAAGAACATGCCACCTCACACCTGTCATTATAAATCATCATAAAAGTAACAAGTAAGTGCTGTTGAGGATGTAGAGAAAAGGGAACCCCCCGCTGTGCTGTTAGTGGGATTGTAAGTTGGTGCAGCACTGTTTAAAACAATTCCGAGGGTCCTCAAGACATTAAAAGTAGAGCTGCCATATGACCCCGCAATTCCACTTCTGGGTGTACATCTGAAGAAATCCAAAACACTAATTCAAAAAAGATAAATGCAAACTATGTTCATTGCAGCATTGTTTGCAATAGCCAAGCAACCAAATATCCATCAATAGACGAATGGATAAAGATGTGATACATATAGACAATGGAATATTACTGAGCAATAAAAAAGAATGAAATCTTGCCATTTGTGACAACATGGATGGACCTGGAGGGTATTATGCTAAGTGAAATAAGTTGACAGAGTAAGATAAATACTATGTAATTTCACTTATTTGTGGAATCTTCAAAAAATGAGTAAACAAAACAAACAGATCCGTAGATACAGAGGACAAGCTGATGGTTGCAAAAGGGGCGAGGGAATGTGGGAGTGGTAAAAAAAATTAAAATGCCATTGACATCCCTAATTACCGAAAGAGACAACATGTTGTTCAACCCTTAAATAAGTTTTTGAAAAGAAAACTTTTCTAAGATATGTACTATCTTAGAGCATTTCACATAGACCAGGTAGGTTTACCATTTTTTAAGACTGCCTAATTGAATGCTTGATGATAGGAATGGCTTTTACATTTTAACAAGTATAAGCTATTGACTGGCCATTAGTGGAGCATGCACTTTGCTGGCCCATTTACAATCTCTTCAGCCAATGTAGTTGGTGCCTAAAGAGACTGCACCTGCTTGATATTCTATCTGGACAGAAGCTTCACCACTCGTGGCAGCCCCCACCAATCCAAGGAGGTAAAAAAGGAAACGGTAGGGAATGAAAAATGGAGCACATTGGGAAAATAGATCAGATTCTCCACAAAACACCTAATATATCGTGAGCTGTGGTTGTTCATTGCTTAATAATCATAAATCAAATGGAGCACAGTAGAATAAAACACAATTCTTTCCTCACTTATCTAAGACAGACGTTCTCACACGTTTTATGAAGACAAGCTTCCTTCTATTTCCCTGAAGTTTTGATGTAACGATGGAGGAAAAATATGGGAGAGTTCGAGGGTAGGATTGCCGATCATGGAATCCTTGTGCAAAGAAATAGGGAAGATGAGCTACAAACCAATGGGCCTTGGCCGCAGCCTGCCCAGCTCCTATGTGAGGAGTGACCAACTGCAGTTGTGGGTAGACCAGTTGGAGGCAATATATCTCTTTCGGGTTGTGGCTTTGACTTCCTGTTTCAATTATTACTGCTGTTCCATGTGAGTATGGAGAGAACTAACTGGAAGTTTGCTGATTGGTACCTGTGCTGAGTTTGAGTGTTCAATCGCCTATACCTTAGCTCAATTGTAGGGGTGAGGTGGAGATGCACCTGGAGCAGGGAATTATCAAGCAGTGTAACACTGCCCCAAGCAAGAACTGATGGGAATGTGAGCCACGATCGGCCCCTGCCACCCACCTGAGAAGTCCCCATGGTAGCCCTGGATTGGAGGGGATTACAGAAAGAACTGCTGGGGAGGGAGCATCAGTCAGTCACGGGCATGAAGTAATTAGACCTGCTGTTTCATGGGAAACGTGCAAGCTAGAACAAGGAACGGTAGACAGAACGCAGAGTTTGTCAGAACCCTCCTCTGTGGCCCCTGCCTTTGCAAGAGTAAGCTTGAGACTCTGGAGAGGTGTTGCCTATAGCAGGGGGACCCAGAGGCTGGAGTCAGACTGCTAAATTCATGGTTCTGAACCAGAGCGGTTTCATTGAAACCAATAGTCTTCACAACGGAGCTTAGATTAGCTGAGATTTATAGTAACCGAGATGATTTAACACACCGAATTAAAGATTTCTTGCTCTATGCCCTGAATGCGAGGTTTAGGAGAGCTAAGACTATTGGAGCAACGCATACTTAATTAAGCACTGGTTAGGGTCAGGGTGAATGGCAGGTCTCAGGAAGGGGATCAAGACAAAAGTCCAGCTGGAAAGGGACTGTCGTTGGGTAAGGCTGGGAGCAGGATAATATTTTATAGGGGGGGTGTATATATGTATTTAGTAAATTTTAAGTCTCATCCAAATGCAAGGTAGGTGACCCTTGTCAGCTTTGCCAAGCCTGCATTTAGGACAACGTGCATTGAGAGTTGCCTTCTAAGCCTGTTCTTCCTCCCAAACTGACAGATGTATGTCTCTCCACTCTCAGTGACTATGAATTAAGAAACGAGAGATGACACATGGAAGGAGCATAAAAAATTATTTTGGAGTCCTCATTTCAAATTTACAACATCACCTACCACCCTCACCTTGAAATTGCTTTTTAGCACAGGTCGTAATGCCTAGATCCTTTTAAAACACCAGTTGCAAAGGGACCCAAGCAACTCCCATAGCTTTCTGTTCAGTCCTAATTTAAAATGGGAGCAGGTACTTAAGAGTTATGTCGTGATGCTCTCTCAAACCTGGCTGGGGAGAAGTATCTGCCCAGATAAGTGTTACCAATTGGTGAGAAGTCCTGTTTCATCTGTCCTCTACCTTATCTCTTTAGGATTGGATAATAAAGCCAGGAAACAAAGCAAAACATGCCAGAACGTCAACACCAGGAGGAAACTTTAGAGGTAATGTCTATGTTCATTATTTGTTGGTTTCACAGGTGTTCGCATATCAAAACTGAATTTTATACTTTAACTATCTGTACAACAATGTACGGCAATTGTGCCTCGACAGAACTGTACTGTTTTTTAAAGCCTAATAGCTAAATACACTAAAACAAACAGGCCAGAAGACGACTTTCCCGCATGGCATTCAGCTGCCTTTTCCCAGGGTGTTACTCTGTGCTGTCAGTGTGAATGAAAGTCAAGTTTAGTTCCATTCCCAAAACGTTAACTGAGCTCCAATTCCATGACAGACACTCCGCGAGGCCCAGAAATACAAAATGAAGATGTGCTCCCTGCCCTCCAGAAGCTCAAAATCTTTGTGCTGTAACTCAAAAAGAGAGCAGTCCAGACCTGCAGTGGGGTCTCATTCAGAGAAGCACAGGTGGGCAAAAGGAAGTAAGTGAAAGATAAATGAATATCGTTCGTTTCTCATGTCCCCCAGAGGACATCAAACGAAATGCAATTCGTAACCCCAACCAGACTCTTCACCCTCCTTTCCTTCTTATTGCACCCCTCAACATTCACTCTGCCCTCCCACATTCTCAGGAGCCTCTCAGAAACCCCCTCACACCCCCCTCCCAAATTCCCTCCTCTACCCACGCTAGATCAGCTTTTATTTCCTCTCCCGACATTTATTATTTTTCTTATACTCTTTAGTATTTCGTCAATTTTGACAAGACCTCTCTCTACCTCTCCCTTCAGGGAAAGGCTTTCTGTTCTCTTTCTATGATCTTGCATCACAAAAAAAGTCTAGGAACCGGTTTTAAACAGGGTAAATTGGAATGGGAGTGAGCATCGGGGTAGCTGAGCAGATGGAGAGAGTTGGCAATTACCAGATTTTCGTCCATTTGTTCAACAATGAATACTAGGTCCTGGAATATTAATATATTGTGTGTTTACTATGTATTGATACAGCGAGGAGCCAAACAGACATATATTCCTCCCTTTGTGTAATTTACATTCTCTTTGGTAATTTGAGTGGGAGAGGGAAGAGTTTGTGGACACATCCACCTAACAAAATTTAACTCATCACATATGTTCACTTCTATTTTTATGATAGCCATCATTGAATAACACATGCACAACTACCTTCAAAACTTCGATCTGGTTTTAGTTGGGATGTTTTATGCTGTACGCAATAAGCTATATCCTCTGACAAGAGCACAACTCCCTCCAGTTGGTATAGGGCAAAGATTCAAGAACAACTTGAAGCAGCTCAGAAGGTATGTCCAGTAAGGTTTATATAGGTAAATCAGTAAGTGACGTGGAATGCCAGCTACCCCCTTGGGTAGGGCTGTTTCACAAGAGTCAGTGCAGTGATGCCAGCCTGTTTCTTTTGAATGCACACTTAATATTTTTTTGGCAAACTATACAATCCGCAATTGTATCTGTGGTTGACATGACCTTAGAACTAGAGTTGTGACACCTCCCAAAGGCTTAGAATCCATTCAAATGTCATTCGAGTTTCTCTGAAAGGTGTGGTTCTAACAAACAGGAAAGACAGAAAAAGTATTCAGAAACACAACTTATGAATAAATACTAGTTTTGCATTTATCACAAGCTCAAGCACTGTTACAGATACTGTGAGTGAACAGTGAATAGAATAGTTTCGGTGGAGACGTGCGGGTTGTCAAAACTTGTTTGGAGGGGGTTTAAGAGAGAAGGGAAGGAGAGAAATTGAAGTCAGAGTGCTGTTGCAAACAAGAGTAAAAAGGTGGAGGAGGGTGGCTAGTGAGATCTAAAAACTTTTTTTTTAATGAGACAATAACATTAGATTTGTATGATAGTGGAAATGACCCTGGAAAGGGAATAGAAATAAATACGTTAGTTACGTTGACTAAGTATGGTTGCTAGGTGACAGAGAAGAAAAACTTATTCTCGATCCACTTAGGTTAAATAATTGGGGGTGCACGAATTAAATTGACAAACAACATTAACAGGAGAAAATACCAATTTTTATTCATGTGCATACATAGAAGCACACAGAAGAATGTGACTCGGGATGATTAGAATTTGGGGCTAATATGCCATCTTAACAGGGGAAGGGAAGAGAGAGAAAGGGCACTTATGTGAAAACAAATGACTTTTAGGAAAAGTAAGTGGGCCCTTAAGAGAACAGATGGAGATACAATAGTTTTGTGACAAGATCTAAACAGCGATCTCTTATTCTGGGGACTTCATCTCCAGTGATAAAAGTTGTAAAACTCCCAAGGAGGAGATTTATGACAGTTGAATTCTTTTGGCAGGTTCTGCGTTTAGGCCAATAATAAGGGGAGTTTAGAGAAAGCCTCCTTCTGCAAGTATTGACACTCAAATGACTTTAGCTCAAAATAATTTTTACATCGCAGTGGTGTATTCTATATTTCAGAGTCCGTGGCAAAGTGACTATTAAAAAGAACCCAACTGCACAGGCAGTCATGGGAAAAGTCACTCTTGGTGTCAGAGTTCCACCTGCGTTCTCTTTTGGAATGTCTGTCAGCAGCCTCGGCAGGTGAGGTGGCGACCCCAAATTGCAGGTACACTATAAATGTCTTCTATTCAGTGAGTTAGTGTACTTCCCCTCAGGGAGGTCTAGGATTAACTGAACAGATAATAAAAGAAATTAACCCTACGCTATTTGTATTTTTGAGTTAAGTTTGGAAAGAAACTGTGTTTCGTTGTGATCGCAAGAATGTGGCGTAGTAGGGGCTTTAAATAGATCTACTCTGTGATTCTAATTTGCGATGTGTCACTGAGTCATGGTTTAGACTGTATTTTTAAGTTGAAGTTTTAATGGCTTTATAAGCAGTGTTAAAACACAAGAGAATTTTAAGATTCACCAGTTTTATAAATTTAACTTTTTAGATTTATAAAATTTATTTAAGTTTTAAGTGTTAATGAAGGGATCTTCGTCAGACGGTTGTCAGTTTATTATTGTTTATTATTTTCCTCAAGGATCTCTAAAGTGATTTTTAAACAGAAGAGTAAAAGTTTGTAAACCAAACTTAAAAGCTTAAGGAAAAAGTATATTTTTGAATCTGTAACATTAGTAAATTATGTTCTTCTGAATGTTTTTTTGGGCAAAGCAAAAGAATGACAAAAGTCATCCTCAGGGACAAAAAAAACCCCTCACATTGACAGTTCTGTGTGGAATATTATCTTATACACACATTTATTTAGAGATTTTTTTTCTTCCCTTTTAACAAGGGTTCTGGAACCAATGGAAAGCCCAAGTTTCATTCCTGGGGCCTTCTGTGCATGTTCATCTCTAAGAATGCTGGCATGGTTTTCCTAAACGTATCAAACACATATTCAGAGTGAGCTGGACTTAGAGCTGTCAAATCTAGATTCATTACCTTTGGAACTGGGTGCTTCTCTCACAGTCCGGATATCAGTAATTGAAAAATGGTCTGAGCTAAAAAAAAAAAAAAAAAAAAAATTGAAAAAAATCTGGCCTACCAAATTGCTCCATTGCCTTAGAAAACAATTTTAATGGAATTTCAATAGAGCGAATTAAGAGGATGCAGAAAGCATACTGTTTGATGAAATTGCTGCTGTCACATGAAAACAATGACATCTGGGAGGTCTGCTGGGACAAAGTTGGATAATGGTACTTCCCTGCTCATTGGGACCGATGAAATATTAACGTTAAACTTACATCTCTAATAAATACTTTTAGTTGATGCTAGGTAATTTAGTTCTCTGTAGCTGACCTAAACTAACCTAATAACTTACAAAGTTTAACAAGAGAGAAATGACAATAAAAAAGCATTTAACATTTACCAAGGGTTGGACTATGTCCCAAGAATTATTTTAAGCTCTTTACAGGCAAATGTTAGTTAACTCATTCAATCCTTAGATCATACAAGGTGGATGTTAATATTATCCCTGTGAAACAACCAAGAGTAAAAAAAGAAAAGAAAAAAAAAGCCAAGTGTACCGAGACGCAAAGAGAAAATTACATAGCCAAAATCACACAACTGGTAACTAGAAGGGCTGAGATTTGAACCTTGGCAGCCTGACCCACAGCCCATGCCCATTCACTAAATGGTCTGCCATCCGTGGCTAGTGTCTTCACCATTTTTCATGTCAATCCTATACCTTGACAAGAGGCATTCTCCCAAGATGGTTCTCTCGGGCCTAGAGTGGGATTTTTTTTTTCCAGCTTAGGAGATCCTTCACTGAGGAACCAAGGCTGCCGCTGACAGCACATAAATATTGAGAGTCAGAGAGAAGCCAGTCTTCCATCTAGTGGTGTGAGAATGACTTGGGGAGATCGTAGGAGCAAACAGGCAAAACGAATATTTCGACACAATATCCGAGTCATCACCTATAAGCTGGCTTTTTTTCTTTTCTTTGATAGAGTGTATATAATACACCTCAGAGCACTTGGACTAGGCAAAGATGATGTAAATGAGCACAAACTCCAATGCTCGATACTTTGTTATCATACAACTATATCCATTTTAACCTAGGAGCCTAAGCAGCAAGGAATCATCAATGAATAATAATGTCTTTGTGCGAGTTAGGAACTAGGGCAGGCATACACTTTTGTCATTGTGCACCAGGAGGATTTTTCTCTTATTTGCAATAACGTAATTTATGGCTAGAATATGGTAAAGAAAGGTGGTATTTTGGATGCTATCAAAGTTGAATAGCAAATGGTGAGTTTGCTTTATGGTTTTTATTGCTTTTCCTAAACAATGTCTTAAACACAGACTAGCAAATTCACTATAACTAACAAAGAAGTCTTAAATTGAACAGTTAGAGTCTCAGGTGCTATAATTGAGACTGTAGAAAGACTTGAGCCAGACACACCTGGTTTTATATCTTCTTCCATTTACCTTCTTCTCAGATCAGTAGTTAAGCAGATTCTCCCCTGAGCCGTCCAGTAGTTCCTGTCCAGTGCCCTAACTTCTTCCCGTTTGCTTCCTCAGCATTCCAAGCTCTTCGTTAGCACGCTCTGGGAAATATCTTTTAATATTGAGTCTCACCAACCGCAAACCTCGTCAGAGCCTTTCTTTGCACCTTTTTGCTTTGTGGTATAGCACCTAGCACATTCCAGCGCCATTTCTTCCACAATCAGTGCAGGCAGTGGGGATACAGCAGTTACTACAAGGAAGTTCCTTCTGTTATGAAGCTTTCATGCTGTAAGGCTGGGCTGAACTGACCATCAGAACCCAAAATAGAATCCGGTACCAGCCCTCCATACTTGGACCGAACAAAACATTTCATATCTTGTTCACGCCTTCATTTGACCTTATTTGCATCTTAAATCTTTTTTCTTTTTTTTTTTCCATCTGTGAATTGTGTTCCTGGCTTTTTAGAGAATTCTGCATGTGCAGGAAAGTGAAGAAAGACCTGGGAGCACGAGAGGCCTTGCCCCTCTCAACGTTCCAGATT